GAGCCGCTCGGCCATGATCGGGAGCTGTACGGGCTATTGTGAATAGCTCGTACAGCACCCCCTCGGTTCTACTGAACCGAAGGGGTCCTGGGGCCGAAGCTACGGCCAGATCCCTCGGCAGCTTCATGAATAGACCCCTATGTCTTACTTAGTCATATAGCCCCTTCAGCTTTGCGCCCACATGTTTGTTCTTTTTTGTTACACTCAGTGATCGCTGAGTGTGTGTACATAATTGAGTATATGGTATGGTTAATATATCCTCAATTATGAATGAATGGGAGTAATCTACATCACCCCCATTCATTCATAATTGTAGTTATAGTAAACAAACAATGTTCTCATGTCAAGTAAAAAAATTAAAGTTTATAAAATATTGAAAAAATAAAAAACATTTTCAGTATCGGTTTCGGCGGCCTGACATTTTTTTAAAATTTCGGTTTCGTTTCGGTTTTAAAATGTCCATTTCGGTGCACCTCTACTATAAACCCATCTGTCTGTCATGAATGCTGCTGCCAGTCTCATCCACCTTACCAACCACCTAGTGTCTGCGACCCCTCTCTGCCAATCCCTCCACTAGCTTCTGATCTTCCAAAGAATACAATTCACCACCTTCAAAGCCATCCACAGCTCTGCCCCGAGCTACATCACCAATCTTGTCTCAAAATATCATCCAAACCGTCCTCCCAACACCTCCTGCTTTCTTGTCACCTCTTCCCATGCTCATCTCCAGAATTTCACCAGAGTCTCCCCCATCCTTTTTCCCAAACAACTCGTGCCCACACAACTATATCTTTTGTGTCCCTTGTCCTTATGTTTTAGATTGTAAGCTCTCAAGAACAGGGCCCTGTTCCTGTACTGCCTCCCTTCATATCGTAGAGCGCTGCACAAACTGTTGGCGCCATATAAATCCTGTGTTATAAGAATGATAATAATAATTCTTCTTCAGACCCACAACCGATAAAGCTGTCTGTAGAATGTGGTTTACTTGTTTTTTATTTCTGCGGAGGTCTAAGGAACACAAGGCAAAGACCTTTGTATGATTTTTATTATTTCAAATGTTACAGTTTCTTGCTTTAATTAAGGTAAAGTTAAAATAAAAGGCTCAGCTAGACTATTCTTTGGCTAGTTGTTTGAGTAAAACATGAAAAAACGCATTGCATCATGCATCCAGTTTTCATGGTAATTCAGTGTTGTGGTAGATAATGGATAATCATTTTTATACTAGAAAATGCATTACAGTACATTAATGCAACGTTTTAGCTGATTGGCATTATACAGAATGACTCTAATCAATAGCCGAATCCCATTTTGTATTCAATAGGTTAATTGAAACATTTCCAAGCTCTTAAAGCGCACATTAAGGGGAATTTATCAAAACTGGAGCAGATGTGCATGGCAACCAATCAGCTTCTCTCTTTCATTTTCAAATCTTAACTGAACAGACTAAAGAGAGAAGCTGATTAGTTACTATGGGCAACTGCTCCAGATTTGGTCTACTCCAGTCTTGATAAATTCCCCCCATTGTCTTTAGAAAAATGGTACAGCCCCATTCCAGTTAATAGCTGCTCCTTCCCATTTGGTTCTGACTGTCATTTCAAGCGAGGGAAATCTCTTCTCATGATCACCCCCTTCTGTTTTATAACGTCCTTCCCATGGATGTGAGTGGGTGTCTGTAAATAGAAGCAAATCATTAAAAACGCCAATTATTAGATACATTGACATCAATTTCCATGAATTCTATCCAGTATATACACAAGTGCTAAGGTGAAAATTCCCTATGTAGAGCATTGCCATGTATGTCCTCTTGGTGCTAGGCCACCAAGGGGGGCTATGGAACTCGGCAAAGATGGCAGCATTAGCAGGGATAAATGCAGTCTGTGTTTAAAGCCCATCTCCGGGCAAAGAAAAAACGTACCCTTGCAGTGGGGCTAAGAGGTCATTTCTTCTCGAGGACTTAAATAAACTGGTTTTACTTACCTTATCCTGACTCCCACAGTGGTCAGTGCTCACTTCTTTTCCTCCTCTGCTCTGGATGTCCCTCTGCATCCTCGTGTCTAATGCAGGTCAATGGACCTGCAGAACACGTGATGAGGTCAGCGGTCCTTAGTCCACTGGAGTGAAGGGGAGAAGAAGCTGAGGGAACCAGTCTAGCAGCAAGGACGGAGATGGTGGGAGCTTATTGGTTGAAACTTGAATATTAGCAAAGTTTTGCTTGCTTACTGGGTATTGTCAGCCTCACTCGAGTATGTATTGTCAGAGACGAGTGTATCACTCTTCCATCCAGTGCTGCTGAGGTAGAATGGTGGCTATGTGCATGTGATAAATCTTCATGGTATATCCACCAATCTGCTTAAAGTGACATTAAACCCTCAGATTTTTTAACATAAACCAATACTGTAATGTGCACCTTACTGTAATCCATGGTAGTTTCCATTCTCTTTGCTGCTCTTCCTTTTAAATCCTTCTCTCTTCTCATGCTTGGGGAGAACTTCCCTTTGCAGCTGAGTGCCTCTTCCTGTAGTGCTGGCTCAGGTTGTGAACCTACACACTGACACCATGTATTCATTTCAGAGACAAGGCAGTATGCTGCAAAACAAGTTCTGCCCAGCATGAGAAGAGAGATGGATTTAAAAGGAAGAGTAGCAAAGAGAAGGGAAACAACCATGGATTACAGTAAGGCACACATTACAGTATTGTTTTATGTTAAAAAATCTGATGGTTTAATGTCACTTTAAGGGTGGACAGGACGACCAGGAAGGGGGTGTAGGACGGGAGTGAGCCAGGTACACTGAATGTGTAGTGCACATGAGGGTACTTCCTGTGTACCCATTCCTCCACAGGAGCTTGGATGGCCAGTTAGTACTGATGTAAGCAGCCATTATTTGGGTTCAAGTGAAGTAGTTGGTAGTTGATAAGTGAGGCAGAACATGGAAAATCTTAGTTTATGTAGAAAAAGCCGTGCAGCATTTATCTCGTTGAATAAAGTTTTAAAATACAATGTATACACACCTATTGTCAAACGCACGGTTTTGGTCTGAGAAAGTTGCCCACTGTAGAAATAAAGGTCAAATACATGTTCCATTTTCCAGTCACATAAGAGAGACGTGTTTGTTCCAAACAGGACGCTGTATGTTCCATTTATATTACACAGCCAAATAGGATATTTTGGAGTCTTTAGCATGCTTCCCACCTGAAAATCAATGATAGTAAAGGGTGACTATGACTCAGCACCACATTCTTGTTGTACAATGTAAGTAAATACAAAATCCAGTCTAAACTACTTTTATAGCTATAGAAGGGGAAAGGTTAGAGCGAATGTCAGGTTTTTGTATCTTTCTGTAAACCTGTTGGGGAGATCTCTCCCCACTTCCTAATGCTTAGAACATTTTATCTACCGACTTTACCTACACCACTAGGGAAAATTACCTCTGCATCTAGCGTTGCCACCTTTTCTTCTATCGAAACCCGAACACTCTAGTGACGCGTGGGCATTTTTTTGGGAGAATGAGTCGTGGCTTATTCATGTGTAAATAGCGCCACCCAATCATATGTAAATCACAGTTGAGACTATTTTCAGTAGCTCCTATCTTAATTTTGGTTGCCCCGCCTGCCTGACATCTTGTGTCCGGGTTTCTGCTGCCATGAAACCCTGACACAGCATTCAAAACCCGGACTGTCCGGGTGAATCCTGGACAGGTGGCAACCCTATCTGCGTCCTGCCCTAGAGATGATTTTGTTTGTCAGGGCTGATAAGTGTCACTGGGACAGTAAATCAGATGAGATCTTTCCAACAGGCACACAGACAGCAATACAAGCTTGATAGAGGTTCTAAACCTACACCGCTTAATCCAAAAGGAAAACCAAAAAATGTCTGGACTGTGGGCTTTAACCTGAGCCAACCATTAACAGTTGTGTGCAAAGAGGAGACGCCACAGATCTTTACAAATAGGCCCTTGAGACTGTGGCCCTCATATACGCCATCAAAAACAGTGATGTATTTGTTTTAATCAACCGTCCCATCCATAGACACCAGTAAGCTTGGTTTGCAATAATTAAAGGAGAACTATGAGGTGAGTACTTTTCACTCACCTCATAGTTCTAGCCGACCTGTGACAATGAGACTGTCACAGGTCGGCTCAGTAGATCAGGAGGTGAGCGAACACATACCGGCGTTGGCTCACTTCACGATCCTGTCACGGATCTCTGCCGTGACAGGGGAGGGGCTGGATTCCCCACTCCCCGCTCCGATCCGCCAGTGCTGACTGGCGGAACGGACGTGGGAGGGGGCGGGTACAGCTGGCTCTGCCTCTAGATAGGCAGAGCCAGCTGTCACTCATGCTGCTGGGCGGATCTCAACATCGATGTCGGGATCCGGGCCGGCTGCGGCGTCTCAGTATACCGCGAGCACATAGTTCTCCTTTAAGATGTGGGAACATGTAATTTGGAAACTACCCAACGTGGCAGCCATGTTCCTCTGGGTCTTTGCATCATGTCCTGATCTCCCTTCTGTAAATCAGTGGATGGCCTTGCAGTCCTATTGTAGTTTTTAACTGACATTTATTTCTTAGGTGGATTTGGGGTTACAGATGGTTTGGTGCAATCAGCCACTTATGTGCAACTTGGTGATCTTATACTATTAATATGAGTATTCCTGCACCCCAGCAAGGTAATTTGTGGATCAGTACTTTGTATTTCTTCAAAAATAAATGTTAGCAACATGGCACAATCACAATAAGAGCTGGCAGATCACTAATTTCCCTTTCTAGTGTATTAATGTCAGAGGCGGCTCTATAATTAGTTGTGCATGGCTTACTACTGCCCTCTGCACTCTGTGCATTAATTACTACTGCTCTCAGCACTCTGTGCGTTCCTTACATCTGAACTCTGTGCCTTACTTATTACTGCCCTGTGCACTCTGTGTGTTACTTATTACTGTGCTCTGCACTCTGTGCATTCCTTACATCTGACCTCTGCACTCAGTTTGTTACTTATTACTGCCCTCTGTACACTACTTATTACTGCACTCTGTGCGTTACTTATTACTGCCATCTGCACTCTGTGCGTTACTTACTACTGACCTCTGCACTCTGTGCGTTCCTTACATCTGACCTCTGCACGTTACTTATTACTGCACTCTGTGCGTTACTTATTACTGCCATCTGCACTCTGTGCGTTACTTACTACTGACCTCTGCACTCTGTGCGTTCCTTACATCTGACCTCTGCACGTTACTTATTACTGCACTCTGTGCGTTACTTATTACTGCCATCTGCACTCTGTGCGTTACTTACTACTGACCTCTGCACTCTGTGCGTTCCTTACATCTGACCTCTGCACGTTACTTATTACTGCACTCTGTGCGTTACTTATTACTGCCATCTGCACTCTGTGCGTTACTTACTACTGACCTCTGCACTCTGTGCGTTCCTTACATCTGACCTCTGCACGTTACTTATTACTGCACTCTGTGCGTTACTTATTACTGCCATCTGCACTCTGTGCGTTACTTACTACTGACCTCTGCACTCTGTGCGTTCCTTACATCTGACCTCTGCACGTTACTTATTACTGCACTCTGTGCGTTACTTATTACTGCCATCTGCACTCTGTGCGTTACTTACTACTGACCTCTGCACTCTGTGCGTTCCTTACATCTGACCTCTGCACGTTACTTATTACTGCACTCTGTGCGTTACTTATTACTGCCATCTGCACTCTGTGCGTTACTTACTACTGACCTCTGCACTCTGTGCGTTCCTTACATCTGACCTCTGCACGTTACTTATTACTGCACTCTGTGCGTTACTTATTACTGCCATCTGCACTCTGTGCGTTACTTACTACTGACCTCTGCACTCTGTGCGTTCCTTACATCTGACCTCTGCACGTTACTTATTACTGCACTCTGTGCGTTACTTATTACTGCCATCTGCACTCTGTGCGTTACTTACTACTGACCTCTGCACTCTGTGCGTTCCTTACATCTGACCTCTGCACGTTACTTATTACTGCACTCTGTGCGTTACTTATTACTGCCATCTGCACTCTGTGCGTTACTTACTACTGACCTCTGCACTCTGTGCGTTCCTTACATCTGACCTCTGCACGTTACTTATTACTGCACTCTGTGCGTTACTTATTACTGCCATCTGCACTCTGTGCGTTACTTACTACTGACCTCTGCACTCTGTGCGTTCCTTACATCTGACCTCTGCACGTTACTTATTACTGCACTCTGTGCGTTACTTATTACTGCCATCTGCACTCTGTGCGTTACTTACTACTGACCTCTGCACTCTGTGCGTTCCTTACATCTGACCTCTGCACGTTACTTATTACTGCACTCTGTGCGTTACTTATTACTGCCATCTGCACTCTGTGCGTTACTTACTACTGACCTCTGCACTCTGTGCGTTCCTTACATCTGACCTCTGCACGTTACTTATTACTGCACTCTGTGCGTTACTTATTACTGCCATCTGCACTCTGTGCGTTACTTACTACTGACCTCTGCACTCTGTGCGTTCCTTACATCTGACCTCTGCACGTTACTTATTACTGCACTCTGTGCGTTACTTATTACTGCCATCTGCACTCTGTGCGTTACTTACTACTGACCTCTGCACTCTGTGCGTTCCTTACATCTGACCTCTGCACTCTGTGCGTTACTTCCATAGGGTACTTATATGTAGAATTTAGATATGAGACAGAAATTAAATTCTAGCTCTAGCAGCTGTAACTTCCTGGCTGCTGGGATTAAGGGCTTGTTCACACCAAATGCGGACTAGATCTGCATGGGTCTCTGCACACGCAGTGCAGTGTGTTTTGTGTTTTTTTGCTGCGTTCTGGGCCGTTTTTGTAAAAAAAAAAAAAGGGCTTTCAGTGCGTTTGCATGTGTTTTTGATGCGTTCCAGAGCAGGAAAAATAGGGCTTGCTGCAGTTTTTTGACATACTTGGACAGGCAGATCGTACTTCCGATGACCGCAATGCCGAACGGGCAGTGTGCGCTTGCGAACACCGGCCCGTCCGGCTTTTATCTTACGAACATGCTACACACCCGCCGAAAATCGTACGATTCTCGGCAGGTTTTCGAACATGTTCGTAAGATAAAAGTCGTGCGACCTTACAGTAGTAGAGGCCGCACGGATTCCACACACCTTACGATAATCGTACGATCGCGGGATTTCCTACAATTATCGTACGATTAACGCAAGGTGTGTGGGCACCTTAAAGACGCCTCTGATTAATGTACTGTATTTCCTGTACGCCAGCACTAAAAGTACCCAGAGACTTTAGGGGATTGCTTTCAAACCCTGACATTTTGTCCAGAAGGAGAAGTGGTTTCTGTGTCACATCAGACTGCAATAGACAGTTATCAGATTCTCAGGGTAAAATCTACCTGCCAGGCTGGATCTGTCAGCTAGTATGGACCAACAAAGATGACACATGCATAGTAACATTGTTCATTGGTTTATTTGTTATTTTTGTGACCTTTGTCTGATAACATTGGCTGCCCATTTCATGTCTGTTTGTAAAAGCACTCATGAGAGTTCTCATGTCAGCATGGACAGCTGTTATATCCTGTATCAGATCTGATAATGACAGTCAAACCCAGGTGTAGTTCGTGTTGCTCCATAATCTATTACTACACATATGACATCTTACACTAAGATAACATTTGTAATGTTTTCTTACAAATGCTAAGTGTGTGATATTTTAAGGTATTATTATTATACAGGATTTATTTAGCGCCAACAGTTTGCGCAGCGCTTTACAATATAAAGGTGCCCATAGACTGCTCGATTCTCGTACGAGAATTGCGGGAAATCCCGCGATCGTAGGAGAATCGAGCAGTGTGAACGAAGACGTGCGACCGTTTCTACTGTACGGTTGCACGTCTTTTGTCTAAGGAGCACGCTAGAAAACCAGCCGAAAATCGTACGATTTTCGGCTGGTTTGAACGGTGCTCGGGAGACAAATGCCGAACGGGCCGGTGTGCGCACGTGCACACTGCCCGTTCAGCATTGCGGTCATCGGAAGCCCGCCCCTAAGGGGGGCGGGCTTGCGATGATCGAGAGTACGATCTGCCTGTCCAAGATGGGCAGATCGTACGTTTTATTAATTACTTTACAACCATCGCAAGACTAAGGTCTTGCGATGGTTGTACAGTGTATGGCCACCTTAAGGAAGACATTACAAACACAATACAATTCAAGACAAGATGGTAAGGTAAGGTGTATGTACGGTGTTTCTGTTAACTGATCTTTATTAAAAAGAAACAAAATACTTTATTGTAAATGTACAAGTGACATACAATGGACTCTCATTAGACCCTTTAACCTATCATCCATTTTGACTGCAACATGTGTCTCTTAACCCATCATTCAATGACTGCAATGCATGTCTTGATGTGTATTGAACATATGTGATTGCTACTGAATGGATCCAGTGGAATATTTATTGCTTCAGACAAGAAGTGTCTTCCTAAATATGAACAAATTATACAGGTGAAGTCAGCTTGTATGATGATGCTGTGCATGTGCAAACTGAGTATTATTTAATAGTGGGTGGGGCAATCACTCATTTATTTCAGTAAAGTTTTCTTTAAAAAAGCAATTTATTATAAAAAGACAAGGCATGTATTGTAAAGAAGAAATTATCATAAATGAAAGTTATATTTGACCTGATACCAAAAAAAGGATGGGTTCAGGTGCTAACTGATGTGGTCAGATCTGCATGCATGATGTGACCAACCTCACGAGCCACAGTCGCATGGTGCTACCACAAAGATGTTTGAATTAATGGAACAAGGGCGAAGTGTGGAGAATGTCACCAGCACAACTTACCCTACTGGGGGGATGGGGTCAAACGTGGTGATAAGGACTAGCTTTTTTAACCTGCCCTGAGAGCTGTCTGCCAGCAGACACCTGACTTTCCCCATAGATGTGAGGTCATCACTCACTCAGGACTGGCCAACCGTCCTCTCATGGCCAGCTGAAGAACAGGGACGTCTGGAGATCAAGAGCTAAAGTATATGACAGGCGAGGGAGTGACCAATCAGTACTGTGAACGGATGCATTAGATAGTGCTGTCCTCAGGCTACACATGCATTTCTGTGTCTGGCACAAGGCAAATTAATACAATGGATTATTGAATAACAAGAAAAGGACACTTTTCCTGCTCTAACCTGGCGTCTATGTCTTACATATTTACTGGAGCTGTAAAAAAACTGGAAAAAGCTTTCTAGCACAGTATGTATTATGCCTCACCTTGGGAAGTTTGCCCTGTTCCATTTCATCTCTGCTCCAGTATAAGTAGCCTACATCACTGCGTGCTAGGACTCCATGAAGTTTCTGCTCCTGCTTTTGTTCTTCCAGGATTTGGTCCCCATTAAAGACATGGGGGCTTGCTCTTCCTGTTAAAATCAGGTTTAACACAGCCTAAACAAAAGCAGTGAGTGTAGAAAAATGAAAAAAAAGTTTATTTATTAGCTTAAAGAACCTTTCTTTTTTACAATTTGTATATTTCCAGCAATCATAAATATGTAATCTTCCTTCTTTTTGTGGAAAAAGGCAAACAAAAGACCAAACCAGGTTTATGTATTTTGTTATCAATACGATGTCATACATGCTATACATATCATGCTACATCATGCCAGCATTCTTTGCCAATTCTTTGGCATAACTAGCATAAGTTTTTAGGCTTGTAAACACTAGTCTGAAGAACAACGTGTATAGAGTACACTCTAATGATGATTTTTCTTTAATTAAAATCTGGCTAGTGTGCTTCCTTTTCAAAAAGCAGCCTAGAGAAAGTGTACATGTAGTCACTGTACACATAGCCGTAGTCAGGGCCAGATTTACTCTTTCGGCTGCCCCAAGGCCAGGTTCCTCAATGCGCCCCCGTACCCGCCAACCCCTCCCCCCCAATGGAGAATGGCAGACCCTGCAGGCATCGCCGAGATCACTTGTGCAAAACAAGCGTTGGCTTCCCCGCTGTACATTTAGCTGATTGCCCAAAGCAGAGCTAAATGTAGAAAACAACTACCTGCCCGGAGCCCATAACTGCATGTCCCGGGCATCGGGAGATAGGAATTCCACACCCCTGCTGCCCCTCTACTCCCTGCTGCCCTGAGGCCAGGCCTTGGTTGGGCTTGTGGGAAATCCGGCCCTGGCCATAGTCACTATTATATTTAGGGGCTCCTGCAGCAGGACATGCTAGTATCACAGGGGCATATTGGGCCACCTCCAGCCAGTGATCCACAGCTAACATCCAATAGTTAATAAGGAGGATCACTTTTAAGCATTTTATTCACATCCCTGCTGTCACTTTTCATCTTGTTTGCTTGACCAGGGCAGGGACGGCCTTATAATGGAAAAGCAAACAAAAAAAGCAAAACATGTTTAAAAAAAAAAAAGATAAAAAAGCTGACCTTAAAATAGTGTTCAAAATTACTAACATTAAAATACTGTTAATCTGACTCTGCCAGCCCTTCAAAAATTGCCTTTTTTTTAACACTAGAAACATTCCTTTCTCTACCCTCACATACGTTGGATTGTTTGTAGCCATATGTCAGGGACCATAGCACTTCCAGGTGGCGCTGGAACCAGGTCCTGCAGTTCCTGTGCTCACCTGCAGGTGTTTCCAGGCAGTCAGGAGTTGTCAGGTACCAGACCACCACTGGGTGGTGCTGGAACCTGCAAGTCCAGTGCTCACCTGCGGGTCCAGTGCTCACCTGTCTCCCAGCTGTCGGCGATTGTTCACAACCTGGTGCTACCTGGGAGGTTATTTAATCAGTATTGTTGACATGTCCTGAGTCCTGTTACCTCCTTGTTCCTTTACCTTGACCCTTGGCTCCCGCCCCGCTTAAGCCAAAACGTTTTTGTTTTAATTTTAGATAGGAAGATTCCCCCTTATTTCCTGGTTTACAGGAAACCACAGGGACTAAGACAGGAAATTATAGAAAGAACTCTGAAATAGGCACAGAGGAGAAAAAGCAACAAAAGTCATTTTTGTAAGAGCAGGGAGGTTTTTATCTCCAAAATGGGATCACACAAATTAACAATCTGAAAGAAGTCTTTCCCGGTCTAATAAAATGAAAAAGAGCATGGGATTTAATCTACTCACCTGTCTTACTGTGTAGTTCCCCAGAGAAAAATGCAAGAGATGGGCTGTTGTTTGGTCTAAGTCATGGTGAACGCTAAGTAAAAACAAAACACACAATAGTATACCTAATCAGTACAATTATGCATAGTGTGTATTTAGTGCTGTATGTATATCCATTTTGCAGTATATCTATTTTTAAACTATGCATACAGTAGATAACAATATCAATCTGAATTTTAGGGTATTTAGGAATATGTCCCTATATTTCAAAAGACTGGACTATTACCCAAGAGGTATTATAGAATCGGAAACAGAAAAAGAACTCTAGAGGTACCAAGTAGGCATGGTCGTCATATCCAGTCTTACCTCAAAATTGTCCGGGAGAAAAGCACACTGTACAGAAACAATATTACTCCATGACTTCCTTCATTTTTGAACTAGGAAAGACAAGCAAACATCAGAAAGTTTGTCTCAATTGGAGCACAGCCAATCTGCTTTTATATTTTTATTTTCTAAGCTGTAGAAGCTCATTATTTGGGCACCATGGACAACCGCAAAAAGTATCAATAACAACATAAGTATGCTGATTGTATCAAATTAGTATTTGAAAACTGTGTGTGGTCTGAAAGTTTGTACAACCAAAAGGAATAAAAAATTATATTATGATGAAGTATGCTTAGCATTACATTGCTTTTATTGGGTGTGCAAAGCTGCCATTAGGTGGTGCTGCTGATCAGGGTTCTAAAGTGGTTGACCCTGTTACATGACAGACTAGCACTTAAGACATCCTTTAACCTTGTATTACATGAGCAAACTCAAACATTAGGTTAGATTTGTGTAGAAATAAACTTTTTACACATAATATCATAGAGAATTATGTCTAAAATCTGTAAATAAAGTGGTCTTGGGAAAGGGTGTGTGCTTCATACATTTTTTTTGCGACCATTTGCGCACTTTAACTTGGACCCCCTCCCCCCTACTCCATTTTACAAAAGATTTAAAGCATACATACCTTTTTCTTCATTGCTGGTGGTGGGAGTATTCACTGCAGCACAGCACATAGATTACTTGTGAGCTCCTTTCTATGTAGCTATGGTAAGCTGAGGCTTCAAGAAAACGTAACCCAAAGGAAAGGGGTGTCTCTGTGACACCCTGGGCTCATAGGGAGTGGTTGAATGGCACTGTACGCCATTCAATCTGGGTGGGGAGCAGTGACAAGCAGTGCAGGAGAACATGGGACACAATTACAAATCATTGGGCAGATAAACATATTTCAGTAGAAAAATGCGCAGACACCAATAAATTGATAAAAATTGTAACATATTATAGAGACTTACACAATGTATGTGTGCACAAAGGAATTTCTCCATCTTGTCTTTTTCCACAAATTCAAACAAGTGGAGCTGTCAATGAAAGCATACTACTGTTATTATGTCTCAAAGCGTTTTACATTACGTTCAACATTTAATGGAATTAACTATTTTAAAGATCTGATATAAATGTACATCAAAGATTATAATTTAGAGGGAATCTGCCAAGACAGAAATATGGAGGATACCATAGCACCGTGCTGTCACTTGTATCCTTACTTCAATATTAAAGTGACACTAAACTCAGATGTTAAATATTAAAAATACATTCAACTACCTTAACTATTAAAAAAAATGTATCTTATTTGTGTATCACTCGGCTGTAGATCCTCAAATCATCTCTGAATTGGTGCTGACACTGTCCTTCCTTCTGGAGTGTGGCTACTTTTGTTTCCCATGGTCCCTGAGTGTGTTGTAAAGTAGCCATCACTCGAAGCTCGCTCCTGTGATGAACTACAATTTCGACACAAATTAGTAAACTAAACATGAGATTGTAGTCCGTCACAGGTTCAGGTAAGGGCCTGCTCCCCTGCACATTAGCCCAGCGCTTCGTAGGCTTCTGATGCTGCAGAGACTGATGTACGTGCACAAAAAGCTAAAGTTCTTGTTGCCAGTGGCAACCAATCAAAATACTTGATTATTATTTTTTTTTGTGTGTGTTAAAGACCTGAATTTTAACTTTGCAATTCAGTGATCTATATCAGTGAACAAAATTAAGCACTGCGTGCAAGTATCATAGTGATTGGCAATAAGAGTAGCCCCAACTCAAATTCAGCAGTGTATTTATGCTCATGCCATGTACATCTTGAGAGCTTAAAGGCACCTCCCTGTGTATTGAGCGCAACTATCAGCCTGCTTCTACATTGAAATATGTATGGAGACTCTTGAAGAGTATGAGAACAAATGGGATTACAGGCACAGCATGGCAAGGTTATCTGGGAGTCTGGCCCAGTGTAGGTAATCTACTGCACAATTCTGGATTGATGAAAAATGTACCAGACCTCCAAAAGGCTGCATTTAAGTAAAACGTTGATACAGATTTGTCAGTAAAGGCCACATAGGCCTTAATTGACCTGTATTTTGAGGTTCGCCAGACATGCGTGACCCAATTGCCGACAAGCCATCAATCAACAAGTCCATAAACATGAATATTTATAGCTGAACATTCAAGTTTTATGTGGATGGAATAGAATTGGGGAGCACTAGCAAGCTCAGTGATTCATACAGGCTTTCTAATCTATTCAATTGAATGCCTCCAACCAGTGCCGTCACAAGGGCGGTGCGGGAGGTGCGGCCCGCACCCGGGTGACACCATTGGAGGGGTGACACCAAAATGACTGACAGTCATTTTGGTGTCACCCCCTCTAAAAAGTCAGGCACTTGGTCATGGCCCGAGAGCACGACAGTATCAGGAGAGAGGAGGGGACACGGAGGCATACCTCATCCCACCTGGTAAACGTCCCCTCCTCTCTTCTAACACCAAGATGGCTGCCAGCAGGCGTCAATTAGATGGCTGCGCGTGGTGACGTCACGCGCATGCATGATGACGCCACTGTGGGGTGTCACCCGGTCTCCGCTCGGGGTGACACCAGGCCTCGGGACGTCCCTGCCCCCAATAGATAATCGTATGATCTTGCTAGATATGGATGGACCTAACTTTCCTCTCTTGTCTTTGAGCCTACAGTGGTAAAGCTTCTGAGGAAGTGCTAGAGATTTCATTCTTTCATTACAAATAATGTAAACATAAAGACAATGCATGTTCCTTTTCATTAGTTTTGTACTAAATGCTTATTTTATTTGTAGATTGCTATGTTTATACAATGCAAGGCTATCTGAGCCATTGAGCTTCTACAGCAGGCAATAAGCAATATAAATCTGAACATTTTGCATCTTGGTGCTGAACCGCGTCACTGCTTTGGAGCAGATTGGAGATACATACATACATACATAGATACATACATACATACATACATACATACATACATACATACCCTTTCCGTAAAATTATCAGTTTTGTAGTTTGGACTTTCTGAGAAATAGGATTCATTGGTGATGAGGCAGACTATAGCTTTCTTCATGGCTCCTGTAGTCCAAAGAATATCAGCAAGAGATGCTGCTAGGGCCTTTTCTTGTTGTTTTTGGCTTATTTCAGATAAACTAAAGCAAAAAAATATATATATTACTACTAAAAATAGTGTTTATATATAGAAAGCGATACATTCAGTACAGTCATGCGTTAGCCCACTGATTTGTATACTTAGCACATTAATTAGGTGAACGCATTATAGTCACACTAATTAACTGCATCTTATCATCCACTCCTGGGGAGACTTCAGTATTGTTTGGGTCTGTTCACAGCAGGAGAGACTCAACACAAAGCACTCTAATGGAAAATCGTAGCTATGGTTGTCAGGACACTGTTCAGTACAATACATTAATAGGTTTATAGGTGAGGATACAATACAGGTATGTATTCAACTCACCTTTATTTCAAGTTTGTTTACATTGCTCATAGCCAGCTCCTTTGATCTAGCCTTTCTATTAAAATGTACTATACAATAAAGGGGTTCCAGTATTTAAAAAAAACAAAAACCAAAAAACTTTCTCTAGTGGAGACAAACTGAGCTTACGTTAATTTACATTGCAAATACTTGCAATGGATTCCTGTAGGCCAAATGTGGCTTCCCTGAAGACTGGCCAGAAAACATCCATTCAATGACATCTATCAGGTCCTCCACAGAATCTAGGATGAGAGATGCATTGTGCGTGTGCCCAGGACACCAGCATCTAAGAAGAGAACTCTCTCCCTCTGTCTCACCAGCACTCTTCCTGTCTCACAACTGCACATGTGCTGTGCGCTATTCTCCCCGTGTCACAGCAACGGCTGAGCTGTGGAATGCATATTTACAACCAAATATGTTAATATAATGAAGGAGAGCAGGAGGGAGGCAGCCAAACAAATGTGGCGGCAGCTATATTTTGCAGGATACCATAATAAATGGTTTTGAATAAGGTTGTCTATGCTTTCCTTAAATGTAACAAAATCAGACAAATTTAAAAGAGAACTATGTGGTAAGTTTTTTCCCCCATAGTTCTCTTTAGGGTCACGGGAGGACATATACTAACCTTCCCCCGTGACCCAAAGCTCAAAATATATTGGGGGATATTGCCGCAAGAGCGCCACAGCCGGGATGGATCCCGACAATACTGTCGTGTCCTCCACTCAGCGCTGGAGGATCGGAGAGGGGAGGGAGGAATCCCTGCGGCGAGCGGTGACTGACAGTCACTGTTTTCTGTAGGGAGATGATCGGAAAGTGAGCTTTTAGTTTAGGTGACAATGGTCACCAGGATTAACAGAGAGGGTGAATCTCCCTGGGAAAAATGGGGAATGGGGTGTGGACACTATAATAACCTCATGCCACTTTCATCCCAAAAATGTTTTCAACATATGTCACTGCATTCTTACTTGCTTTATTGATTTACCTCTTGAAGGAGCTTTGTTCTTGATCTTTCTTTGTAAACTGCAAGTACTTAATAATGTGCGCTTGCACCACCATCTGAATTGCTCTTGTTCCTCCCTTTGAAGAGTGAAATAAATGTTAATTAATGTAATTTACCTTCAGCACTGAAGGTGGGAATTCTAGGAAGGATCACTGCATTCATTATCCCTAGGAGGTAGAGCTCTTAGCAACCTGGGATTCTCTAGCTGGAAAGGAGACAGCAAGCACACCTGGCACTCCCCATACATGACCCAATGAGATGCCGCCTGATGCAATTTGTTTTAAAAATTGTACAGTCATACTAGAGCTGCCAATTCTGCAAACCGATCCTGACTGCAGTTACCCATTTAGTCAAAGTCAACTTTCATAAATCATGGCTTACATGAATTCAGTTCTGTGTGAGTTTATTTAAAATTAAAGAGGCCGATGATGTATCAAGGGAACAATACTTGCAATGGTTTCATATTATTATATCTATTTGGCTCTGTCAATGCTTTACTTCTCTTTAATAAAACCATCTTATACACACTTATTTTTGTAATATCATGCTTATTTAACGTCTAACCAAGTAAACACTGCACCAAGGACCTCGAAAATCTAGGAAACATTTTGTTCATATGATGTTAATTCCATGATATAATAATTATTGTTGTCCACAGATTTTTACACTTATGATCAGAGGCAAATCATTTTCTGAATTCTCCACAGTACGTTCAGGCATGCTTTATATTTTAATACTTCCAGTGCAATAGGCTGTGACAGACTCAGCTGATGTTCTCTTTTAAACCCTCTGAGTTTTATCTGCACCAGAGGAGAAACCTCCCAACTTTTCCCCAATCTATCTAAAACAAAACAAAAATAAGCTGAAACTCCACTCCACATACTGTATTTGGAGCCATTACAAATTGTAAAGTTAGACATTAAGGATTTTATTGTTATCTGTAACCTTGGAACTCCTTTGAAAGGCAGCATGAGATTGATTACTAATTTCATAGCAAAGCTGAGTGATCATTGGTAAGTCATTGCTTGGTATCAGGTGGCCTATGCCTTGGGTGGCACCTCAGGATGAAGTAGTTCTCTGAATGATGGCGTTTCACAAAGTCTACCCACCAGGATAGAGAAAAAAACACAAACAGGCTTACTTAACAAGTACATCTTTGTACTTAACACTCACAGATGTTTTTCACTTCAGGGTACTGAAATAGCTTGCACTTGTGTTGTAACTAAAAGCTGACCCTCTGCAAGGTGGGAGTATGGCACCCTAGTAAAGTCTCTCTGGCAGCGCCCCTTCCAATTCAGTTTTGTGTAGTGCAGGTCAGATCCCTATTTAAGATGAGGCTAGCAGTTCCTGCATTAAGCCAAAACTTCAGAAATTTCAAAAAAGAGGTTCTTGTGTTTTCTCTGTAGCAGGTATGACTGTAGAAATAGACCAGCTGAGATTCAAATGGGAATGATTGTCCCCAGCGATATCTCTTTAAACTACTTGGTCAATTTGGGTAAGGCAGTAGACCAGTGGAGGTTCACATGGTCCCCCAGTGTTCCCAGTGATATCCTTGTAGTAGCCAGATGATCATGAGTGAGGTCCAGTTGCGGACCAAATGAACAAAGGGCCCTGGTGCAAGATTTTATCTTGAAACCCCCCCCCCTCCCGAAGATGGAGGGGCGCGCGGGAGCGGATCACTCCGGCCGTACCCCCTAATGGCGGTGTTCTATCAAAGTTTATGACTACGTTAGAATGTGTGACCGTGGTCACACATTTTAATGTAATCCCGCCCAGTTTTACAGCGGTGGAATGTGTGATCGGTCACGTGATCACACATTTTAATGTAATCCCTCCCAGTTTTTCAGTGGTGGAATGTGTGACCGCCAATAGGTGAAGCATTCCAACGCTTTGTCAGCTGTTCCAGGACAGATCAGGATCGCAGATGGTATGTGCAGGAGAACCGATCTGCCCTGGAGCTGATCGGTCCTGAAATGTCACTTCTATCCGACTTTGTGAGTGCGATCTCACATTTCACCGCACTCACAAAATCGGATAGAAATAGCATTTCAGGACTGATCAGCTGTTCCAGGGCAGATTGGTTCTCCTGCACATACGATCTGCGATGCCAATCTGCCCTGAAACAGCTGACAAAGCGTTGGAATGCCTCACCTATTGGCGGTCACATATTCCAACCTATTCACAAACTTTGATAGAACAGCGGCCCTCTCTGTGATCATTTAATCAGAGAAATAGATTATTTCAGTGTAATCGTCCCTGTAATAATACATTTTTCGAATTAAAACGAAATAACAGCACACAGTGGGCAGTTATACCCGAATCCCAACTCCTCATTCAGACTCACCTGTCCAGAGCCTCACAGGATCCCAGACAGACTGTGTGCATGGGGCGGGGCATCTGACACACATACTTCTCTCCCGACACCTGTTACGAGGGACACGGCCGGGAGACGGAGCAGTGAGTCACAGGGACCCTGCATTGCCCCATATTCCACCAATGGGGCTGGCCAGGACCGGACCTCACTGGGCCCCCCCACAGACCCAGGCCCAGGTGCAGCCGCACCGGCTGCACCGGCAGAAGTTCGGCCCCTGGTGAGGTCCATTCTTAGGTAGTTCAAATGCCCACTGATGTAATCCACACGTCAATCACGCCAACTCGCTGAAAGAAAAACTTCCTGACGCACGCTGCCGCATCTGAATCCGATTAACACCAGCCGCAAATGACAGGTATGCTCCCGAATGTCAGCAAAGAGGCGGAGCGAGTCATGATATCATGGGACTCTGTGGGGGTCCCCTCCCCATGTTGCAGGCATGTGACCTGGCGTGGTGCGGGGTGCTGCTCGGATCAAGGGTCTGGTAAGGGATTTTAGGGGGGACCCCACGCTTTTTGTTTTCTGCTGTTGGGGGAAAAAATTTCAGATGCATCTGAATTTTGTTATAAAAAAATTCAGACATGTTTGGATTAGTTATTTCTTTCATTTGGAAATTCGGATGCGTCCAAATGTCCGAATTAGCCGATATTCATCTGAATTTAAACTCTGAACAAAACAAATCACACATGTCTAGTTACTACGCTTTGCATGGAGTCAGTTTGCAGTACCCCTGCACTAAATAAGCCTGAATGGGTAGGCCAGGGATGTAGTCTTATCTATGCTTCCTTCACATGCATGCATGCACGTTCCTTCATGCACTTTCAAATGTGGAATATGTGCCATTCATATTGTTTGGCAGCCCCACGCACACACACATATGCAATACAAAGCAATGCACTTGCACCTTGTGCTCTGTGGTTTGTTAAGCGGCTATTCAAATAAAAAGGCCTGCCTTAACGCAGTGCGTGTCAATGTACGAAGAAACGCATAGGTGTGAATGGAGCTTTAGGGTGAATAATGTCATGAAAGCCTGACCTGTGAAGATACTGGCTATTTTGTATGGAAATAATAATAGGTTCAACATATGTTGTTATTATTAAACAAAAACTCAATTAAAAATTAGAAAATAGAAGCCTTTTACCTTTGCCATCGATCAAACATTTAGAAATACTTTGTAATCGGAAACAGCATACTTTTGGATTGATTTTGGATTCTGTTAAACTAATTGTTACAGAGGTAATCATAGACACCCCTTGAATTCTAGCCTAATTTTTACCTCTTTTGTTATATATCTTTTACACTAATTGTTACCTTTTCTGCTTCCAGTGCATATGGCAGGGTTGAAAATGCTTCTCTGAATTTGAAAAATGATTTCTTCCACTCATAGTTAAATGTTTGAAATGTGTTTCCAAACAGAATTTTTCTCAACTCCTGAAAAGAAAAATAATTGTGAAAATAATATAAATAAAACACACTTTGTGCTAACTATACCTAAAAAACACTGATGTAAAATAAACAAAACATCATATTCTCTAAAAATCTTTAGAAACAGTGGGCCCACAAAATGTCCAAACCATACATAAAACATTAAGACCCTATTCACTCTGGTGATCCCATGAGTCTTGCAAATTCCTCTGTGACACTCATGCAATCTGCTGTGGGAGAGAGGCACTGTATAGTACAATGACAGTGGCCACTGCCCACAGCTGTTTGCAGACTGTTCGCATGTAATCGCTGCAATTAAAGTAGAAGTAAACCCTTTAATGTTTATGATGATTTACTGACTAATATCAATCTGCAGAACATTCTGCAGCGCATAGGTAATAAGTGTGTGGAACCTCAAACGAGCCTCGGATCCGGCCAGCTGTGACAACACTCCCTTCAGCCTGTCTTCTACTCTGCTGCAATAATGGTATGTCCCTCGATATCCTCACATCCTATTTGCTATGTATAGAACGTGATCACTTGAGGATCCTTAGACTGCTGCAGCAGAGAGGGAGTGAGGTGGAAGGGACTGAGCTAAGAGCTGGCCGGCTCCAAGGATCAGGGGAGTACATATATTTTTTTTAAACCTAGACACAAACGAGTACCTTACCCTTGCAATGTGGGGCTAGCCCCACTGCAAGGGTTAATATTTTTGTTTCCTTGGAGTTCTGCTTTAAGTCCCATTGTTTATCACTATGACTAAACAGAGTTTATCTCTGAAGGACAGAAATAGAACTGCAAAAAATATTACATATTTCAGACTGAATAAACTTTGTTTAGTAAAGGAAAGAGCAATGTACAAATGGCAGTTATCTGCAGCAACCAGTCAGTGCAATCTGGTTTCCACAAACTGAATTCTGATTGGCTGAGGTGGGCTCTTGCAGCGCGCACCTCTTCATTGCTCTTTGTGCTACTTTATTAAATAACGCTGCGTACATTTTCATGTCTTAAATACTGCTACTTTGTATGTTGTAAAGTAATTGCTTTATTTAGATCACATCATCAATAAATTACGGTTTGTTTTTTTCTTAATGAAACATCCTCCATCCACCCCGGCATTTAATAACACTGTGCATCTTACAGCACAGGAGATAGGATTTCTCAGGCCTTTTGTTGAATACGGATTAGGTTTCCTGTGTTGTTTTATTGACAAGCTCTGCTTACCATTGCCATTTCAATTGTGATAGGCTGGCCACCAAGGTCTGAAGAGATTATCAGTTCTCTTGGGATAGAATATAGTACACTGCCAGGAGAGGTGCCATGCTTCTTGCTGCTTGAGGTCTTAGATCTGTCTTCATTCTCTTCGTCTCCTTTATGGTTATCCTGGATAGTCTTAATAATGATTGCACATGGTTAGATGTCACAGCAATATATTTGTCACATCAGAAAAGTAAAACTGCAAAGGATTTTGATGAGTTGGAATGGACTACATAATCTGCAGCTGATTTAATTGTGCCATCAAGTCTAATGTTTCTCAGCTTGTTCCTCGTACACAACTGTGAAACTCTCTAATATTGTAGTTAGTCCACTGATTTTAGGGAAACCTTTACTGGGGGAAACATGGAGGCTGCCATTGCTGATTTCTTATTCCACAAATACTAGTTGCCAGGCTGTCATGTTGACTTGCTTGCTTCAATAGTGTTCATTTATACACCTGGAGCAAGCAGATAATAAGCTCTTAGTTTCCCGATTGGTATCTCTTCTTCTGCTCTGGGTCAGTTGGGTTGATTGATTTACTAAAGGGAAATAGGTTGTTTTCTGTGGAAAGACATTTTCACTCTGCAGGGTAATTTTCCCTTAGTGAATGTGGTGATACCTCATTATGTGCAAGCAAAACGCAGAAAACTGTATTTTTGCACATAATTGAATGACGGAAGTCAGCAGAGCTTCACCTCATTCACTAAGCTATGGGAAAATCCCCTTGCAAAGTGAACAGCCTATTTGTCTTCAGTAAATCAACCCCATTGACTCATGGAAAACAGAAGCCAAATGGTCAGCGTAATAGCCAAATTACTAGCATTTTCATAAGAAGGTCAGAAAAAGCAGAACCCATGTTTTCCTCAGGTGCCCATAAAATGGATTGTTAAAAAAGCCACAGTGAAAACTTGTGTATGCCTCTTGCATTGGTTATGGATTCCATCTGAAAGTAACTTTATTCCCTCCTTTTCTCTCCATACCATACCTGACACCATGCTAAGTCATGTGAATGATGGGTAAAGGAAACATTGTGCAAGTGTAACGTTCCATTCAAACCTATTCATTGTGGTAATGTGCGTTTTACCATACTTTGCAATGCAAGTTAGTGGCATGTTCATTTTGAATGGGAATAATTCAGCAGCAGGCGACACATCCACACTGCATTGCACCACGACACACGTGCTTGTGTTTAGAATAATGGGTCAAGTCCATCTTTGGCTGTGTTGTGGTGCATTGGCAGCCTATGAAAAATCAATGGGCTGCTAAGCCCAACTAAACCTATAGTTTTAATCTGCTAAATAGATTTCAGATGCATCAAAACTAAAGTGTTGTGCCTTACAGCGTGTTTTTTTTTTTAAAGCAGCCACAGCAGAGTAAAAAAATTACTGAGAAATTACTGACTGAAATCTCATCCGAAGCCTAAGGCCTGGTTCACACCTGTACGTTTTGTAGCGCGTTGAACGCTCTAGGAACGCTCTACAAAACGCTCAAACATGAAAATCCCATTGTTTTCTATGGGTATGGTTCACACCTTGCCGTATTGCAGCCCGTCTGAACGCGCTACAAAACGGCCTACGCCTGAAAAAGGTACATGAGCTTCTTTGCTGCGTTTTTGTCGAGCGTTTCCATTGGGATACAGCCAAGTAGCCCTCGGAAACGCGCGTTTGTCGTTTGGCGGTAAAAACGCGCGTCACGAAACGCGCAGCAAACGCGCATATTCGATACGCCTAGGTGTGAACAGAGCCTTAGCCCTGGCTCACACCTAGGCGTATTGCATATGCGCGTCTGTCTCGCGGTTGTCGCATGTTTTTTTTACCACGATTCGCGTTAAAAAAATCGCGCGACAAACGCGCGTTTCCGAGGGCTACTTGGCTGTATCCCACTGGAAACGCGCAACAAAAATGGCCCAAAGTAGTACATGTACCTTTTCAGGCGTGGGCCGTTTTGTAGCGCGTTAGGGACGGGCTGAAATACGCCAAGGTGTGAACCAGACCCATTGAATACAATGGGATTTAGATGTTTGAGCGTTTTGTAGAGCGTCCGTCGAGCGTAGAACGCACTACAAAACGTTCAGGTGTGAACGATGGCTTACAGTCCTCTCACTGACCTCTGCACCACTACAGAATGTAGCTGACTTCTATATAAAGTACATGGAAATACTAACTAAATTGCATTTAGTTTGTTAAAGCACTTTGTATCATAAACAATTGCCATTTGTTTTCTAAAAAAATAAGAAAAAATAAGACTGTTTTCACTTTTGTTTCTATCCTTATTTTCATATCAGCAGCTACTCCCTGTCTACAAGCATGCACTTCTGCCACTGCTGCACATCATTTGACAGGGTGGTGACAACTGTGGACCATGCCTGTAGTCCTCAATGGAAGAGCAGAGACAGAGCGTTGACACCCTATAACACGAAATGCCTGCACAAATTACCTTCATGGCAATGGCATGGCAATGCAAAGTACTTTTGAAATGACTCAACAAAATGTTAAAGCTTATAAGAAATGTGTTTCACATATACTTTAAATTAAAATGCCCAGTACTATTAGCTGACACCAAAGTGAGCATGTCCTGTACAGAAATCCTTTTTTGGTGCAATGTACAGTGAGGACGCACAAACTTTACTCGATTCTTAACAAAGCTAAGAAGTATAAGTGTTGTCCATACCAATAGAGCTGTCAGGTTTTTTTTAACTGCAGATTAGGGATTAGAAGCATGCCAATCTGCACAATGTATTGTAATTTATTGCATATCTGTACATTACTCGGAATAAAGCAGTCCTGGTAGATAAAGGCCACATGTGTGTGAGAGATAATATTGCCAAATCTGGCAGAACTACAATGCTTATATACTGGGACAATTGCCATAGATACTGACTGTGGTGAGCTCTGATTTTTGGTTATAACTACTAATGCATCCTCAGATTCAAGAGCTCTTTTGGCAAATGTCAGAACTGCAAATCAGAACCTGGTGTTATGTAAAAGAGAAATGTTACTACTTCTAACCATAATGGAAAGCTGGGTATACACAGCTAGAATTTCATTAGAAAAAATTTGTTTTCAGAACGTTCATTAGATTTACTAATAGCTAATGGGGTCAAATTGACGTTCATTTTTGTAGATCATATTGGTAAAAACTGAAGGAGTAGGATGGAAACATTTTGTTGAATGAATTAATTTCTAAAGCCAGGTTCCTAATGAACCGGTCAGAATTTGCGACGTGGGTATTGCTGTTGGCACCCTTCCGCTTGGCATTCCTTGATCAGCTGATCGAAGGAGCCCACTGGAAAATTCTTAGCTGAACTGAGTTAGCAGCCATGTATACCCGGCTTTACAGTGAATGTGGTTTTTGTTTGGGAAACTCCATCCATTCAAAAATCAAAAGTTAAAATGAAGTGCTATTTTGAATGACATTCATCAAGTCATTGATGGCATTTTCTAATGTGCTAATGAGATTTTTCATATGAAAGTTCTTTCGAAAATCGACCAGTGTATGGCCAGCTTAAACTTTGCCCACACGGTGTTGAATACACAAGACAATCCACCGTGTTCTGTTTTATGGGCAGCTTATGGCTGTGGCTCACATACCCTCCTGCCAGGCTAAGTTATAGAAAACTATAGGCATTCATGCTACAAACACCGAAATTAGCATGTATTGCATCCCAACGTCCAAACACAAAGTGTGAGCTAAACCATTTGAGTCAGTACACACATTTAGACCCGGCATTTTCAGGACACTTAGCAGGGGTCAGAGCCACCATCTAAGTGCCTGCACAATGCCTAAACAATAGTGTTAAGCTTTCCAGATAGTCTTATTTCAAATCACAACATGAAATCTGAACTTTGGGTATAATACATTAGAGTTCATGAAGGCACCAATTAACCTTACTACCAGCTTAAGCATATAATAAGGAAAGATTGAGGTATGCAATGCCCTGTGGACTGCTAAATGTGCAACTAAAATATTACACACAAATTTAACACTATTCCATTTCCAGAAACCATGCAACGTGTGCTTTGTTCTGCTTCCTGACAGATGTGTTTTAAAGGATCCAATTATTATATCATTAAGATTGTTTAGAAGTTATGATGCCTAACATTATCACATGATTTTACAATGTCTAGAATAAATAGATAAATAAATATAATTTTCATTTAACATTTTATATTGATAAATGAGCTAAATGCACATTTGTTGTACAAATATTTTTTAATACTATCAAACTGCTGCTTTTGTTGTATAAAGAGTATAAAATGCTGTGTGTATATTAGTACATTTTTGTGTATCTATGTTAGTATAGGTGCATATGAACAGTTTGTATGTTTTACAGCGCATTAACACTCACCTTCTCCTGACTGATAAGCATTAGAAGACTGATATAGCTGAATAAGAACCCCTTGGATCAGAGCACAACACAGAAAATGGGTGCCACTTACTATTGATTTCTTCCTGACATCTTCTTGGAGTAATTCAATGTAACTGAGCTTTGAGGTGTCTCCATTCAGAAGTGTGTTTGAGCAAATATTCATAGTAACAATGTAACAGAAGACGTCACAGATGAAGGCACTTCTGATGACTGATAGGAAAAGTGCAGCCTCTCTACCAGTGTCTGCCAGGATACCGCCTCTCTCGTCTCACTTACCAGATAATGAAACACTTTCATCATTGCTGGATAGATATCTTCCAATGGATACATTCATGAACATGAATGCAGAATATAGCCAAACCGCTGAAGGGGAATATGGGAAAAGTGTGGTTAAAAAAAAGTTTCACAGCAGTGCCTTTGAACATGGGCCTTGCATTTAAAATGCAATGGATGAAATGCAGAAAATACAGCAAATGCCATTCAGTCTTTAATACATTTATGGCGGCTCTCTGGCAAAGGGTAACACTGGTGGGCATGAACCGTTTTCCTATTAAAATATGGTGATTACCCGTTTCAGGGCCGTAATACGTATATAAACGGCAGTAACCTGAAGCAGCTATACCAAGATCACAGCTGCTGCAGCCAGTGCACCCCCGATGCATCTGGTGTGAATGGGCCCTTAGTGTTGGTGATGCCATCTTTCCCCTCACTGCTTCCCTCAAGCATGTAATCTGCAATAGGAATCTGGGGACACTGGGCTTTAATTGCTTTTTACTAACATGGGTGAGCTAATATTCAATGTAAAATTGGCATTTTAACTATGCTAAACCAACATTCCCCAAAGTCTGCTCTGAGAAGTATTCTCAGAGAAACGTCCACTTTTATTAATGAGTAGGCAAATGTTTTCTAGGGAAGCTATAATGGTTGGGGATCAATTTTATTTTTTTAAGATTTATAAAGTGATCTTTTACTTTATCACCATAGGACAGGAAGTTTGTTAGGGCTACAGAACACCTCCTGTAAGGGCACAATGGCGGCCTCACATGCCACAAAAGCCCAATCTCGGGAAGCACGCCATAGTGCGCATGCGCAAGTTGCGTTGGAAGACGTTGGACGGATGGCGCACAGGAAGGGAAGTAGTCGTTTCACTTAAGTGACTATATAAGGATGAGTCTGCTTGCTTCACATTGCTGATGGTCTTGTCAGCTTGTGTTGCCTGTTGTCTGTGCCTCTGTAGATTTGCCTGTGACCTGTTTGACTTTAATTGCTCTGGACTACTCTTCTGATTGCTGCCTACCCCTGACCTCATCCTGTTCTCTGGATTTGCTCTTGTCTGTTGATTTTGTGCTTCGCTGGTCAGCTGGATCTGAGCTTTGGCTTACTCGACTACAACTTCTGGCTCCTGAGTCTGTTCCTATGCTGCCCGCCCCGTTTGATCCTTGGCTTGCTGACCTCTCTACAGGAAGTCTCCTGCACGGTGTCTGCTTCCAATCCGTGGCACTCGTGCTCCCTGTTGCCCTGCGTCCTCCTGTTCCAAATTCCAAGGGTCGCAGGATACGAGTCGCAAGAAACGCCTCCTCATCTTCCGGTTTCATCCCCAGGTACAAGATACCTCCCCCTCTTCCTCTCCATAACATAAAGGGGAAGTGCTCTGTAGTACACAGATAGAACTGGGGACAATGCTAACTGATAACAGTGCAGTAGGTGCAGAAGTCAAATTTCTGGCAGGATCAAAAGGAATTTTTTTGGCATGTATCAAACACATACAGTATAACAAAATGCTTTTAATAGTATATTTACCAGACCAAATGGGAGCAAATAAGGGAAGTTCATAGTTGGTGCATACAAGTGTATCGTCATACAGTGTATCGTCATACAGTATTTGCGGTGTCTGAGAATTGCATCTGCTGTGGTTTTATGTCCATAGCAATATATGGACAGAAAATGCTGTTCTCGGGTGTACACCCACAAATGGCAGCACTGGGGCTCGCACGTGCACGGGGGTAAGCTTCCAAATGCGAGACTTTCATATATATGAAAATACCCCTGTATTTGCTCTATGATATACCTATTTGCATTGTCCCTTGGGGTTTACACACCCATTAAGGGTGCATTAACTTCGGAATCAGAGCCAAAAACGCGAGTCAACGGAGGTATGTTGATTTGAGTTTGCATTGGATGGCAAACTTGACATCCGTTGCGTTGAGTTACATTGTGTTTTTCTTTTTTTTGGGGATTGATTTTTATACTAAGCTATATAGGGTATTGGTTGTGCCTTGCTTTGACATGTATTGGTGTGAAATGCTCCCATTCACACCCATTCATTTTCAGATGCCCTTGCGTTGCCATCCATTGAAAAACAGATGCCAACGCATCTGGTGCGCATTGGGCCTAAATATTCCCTTTAAGACAACTATTATGTTAAGATTAAAGTGACAGTAAAAGAAAATCCCCCCCCCCCCAATGATGTCTCTTGATCCAATCATTTTCTTCTTTTCAGTAGTTTTCAGGAGTACCTCCAGCGCTGGTGTCGGTCTCCGATCCAGAGCTGACTGCTGTGTCTTCTGTGTCCCACGCAGTCTGTGCGGGTGCATGCTGCTGGGCTGCCTGAATTGACTTACCTTGTGTCTCTCCTCGTCGCCCTGCTGAAGATCTGTACTGCGCATGTGCCTGCCCCATCATGCTTTGCGGCCGCCCGAGATTTTTCAGATCTTTAGATGGGAGCGCGCAGCGGAGACACAGGTAAGTTTAAACCTGTTTGGTAACTTTTTCATGCTTTTTGCATATATCTACTGCATGCTAGCAGTAGATATATTCAAAATATCCTTTAAGGATGTCCTGACTCCTGACTAATAGTTGTCTAGCTGTCATGCTGAACCAGTGGCTTCAATATTTAAGTCATTGGAATCCTCCAGATTTTGCCTGAGTGTCTGAACATCTTTGTATCAACTTAGAATACTGAGAGCTGAACAATCACAGTATGTCTTCCAGCTAGGAATACTTGGAAGCTGCTACAATTACTTTCCCAAACGTTGCTGTACAAGGCTGAACTCTCAGGTTTATCTGTGTGAAGCAGACGTTTGTTTTCCTAAGCAATTTCCCTGCTGGTTTCCCTGCATTATACTGCAGTGCGAACAAAGTCTATACACATTCCCAATTAGTAGCAGCTCAGCGGTGGGCATGTCCTCATTTGCCATTCAAGGCAATCATTTATTTTTTATTCCAGCATGGTAATATCTAAATTAATGAATATAAGAAAGCAAAGTATGTCATGGTAAAAAAGTCAAACGTGTATGGTGAGAAAATCAGGCATATCATAGATGTGCCTTTTTAAAATGTTTAATAAAGAATTCATATAAATTGTATGTCAGTTTTTAAACAAATATTTTAAGCTCAATTTATCAGCCTGTATAGGGCAAAGCAACAGTTTTACTTTAATGCAGACATCCCCACAGGACCACCATTAGAAATCACGGGGCTCCATACAGCCTATTTGACAGCCCCCACCCCCAGTGTCTCTCCAGCTTCTTCTCTCCTTTCCACGCCCACTCAATTTATACCTGAGGGACAACCACACTGTGGGAAGCCACCCCTTCATGATGATGATGATGATGATGATGATGATGATGTCAATCAGTTCACCACGTTGCCATGAAGACTCCCCTCACCACTCGACATGTTGTCTACGTCTCATCAAAGTTAACTAGAGTGCTGATGATTTGCTGATTCAAAGGGGTCTGGTTCAGAAGTGTTTCCTGTACCCCCTTGTTGGCGGCCCTGCATCTACATATGCTTATACTTACCTTCTGCTGCGGGGGTCAGAGGATAGCCCCCCTGTGGACCCCCTGTGATAGTGCTGCTTGGCCCAACTCTGTCACATGGAGTGAGTCACATACTCCCCCATACCCAGAAGTAATGGGTAATAGGTATTTCCTTTGGCTCCCAGTGTTGAACAAAGCAGCAAGAGAGTGAAGCAAACATAAGTATACACTGCTGGGGATAGGGAATCTAAAGCAAACCTATTGATTTGCCCTGTGCAGTCAAAGCACTGTTAACTTTGAGGGAAGCCCTTAGTGTCTAAGTTGGTAGCAAAATAACAGCAGATCTGGAACCAGATAGTACCTGCTCCTACATTACCAGACCTTCTTACCTACTTTCTGCTGTTGCAGCCCCTGCAAAGCACCTGAATGTTCAAGTAATGAACACCTAAGCACACTCCTTTCAGCCTCCTACAATCCAGTGCTTAGTGTCTGAACAGCCTACTACCCAACCCAGGCAGGCTTGTGTGAGTGGGTACCCAGCCCCGTGCAAATACTGACTTTCAGAAAGATGGTGTTGCAAATTGCATGGGATTTGGGAGGGCTGCAGTGGTGCACGGGGGAAGTGAGAGGCACTCACAATCTAGGTGCACACATCTGATGACACCTGCTGTTCCGCTATACTGTCATTTTGTGCATGTGGAAACATTACAGTATTAATTTAAACAATTCATGAGTATACATAGTAAGAAGCATATCCTGTTTCTTTCATTTATAGAATCTATATGGAAACTGGCACAAAGTATTCCCTTTTCTATGAAGATGGCTTCATATGCCTTATACTGTATGCCTTAGTATTGCATAACCTGCCTTGTATTATGTCAATTATCCTTGTTTGTAAAGCATTGTATATACAGTAAATCCAATGATCATTGCTATGACACAAATCTCAAGGTCTCTTTAACATAACATTTACATTGTATTGTGCATATCTTAACAGTGTAATGTAGAATATGAGCCTCTGTACACTGCTTGTCTCATTGTGTACAGTGCTCAGTTGCCCAAAAAGTTCCAAGCTAGACAATCTTTTTTTTTTTTAGTGTACACAAGATTTTTGTGCCAACATTTGAACCCCGTATATGTCCAGCTATTAAAATGCCTAATGTTTCATGTATAACTATGTATTTATGTACAGGAAACTTAGATGACCTCACACAAGTTATAGCCAAACTCTTTCTTTATTCTTTCATAAAAGCATAATATGGGATGAATTGAGATCCCCTGACGCCTTTCACACACAGGTGCTTAGCCATAGATTATATAGCTGGTGTGGGGTCATACAGTTTTTCTGTATAGTGGCTGTCTTTTATCTTACTTATAGAGGGAGCTTTGAGGTAATGTGGATATTAAAGATAGTGGCTGTTAGCAAACCAGCTGGATGAGGATCTGGCTAAAGAAGGTAAGCATGGACTAACCTGGAGTGACATACGGCTTTTCTAACTATGTATGTATTGTTATACAATATTGTAAATTATGAATTAACAAGTTATATGAATGAACAAATTATGCCTTAAAATACATTTCTGTTTTATGCATGCACATTTTTTGCATGTTTGTTTTATGCAGTTGTTGCAGAAGTCCATCATTATCATTGCTTCTATTAGATGTAAAGTGACCACCAGGCTATACTGTATGTTTACTATGATTTTTCCTGTGTCAGTCAGCAAAGGCATTCATCTAGCTGAGCGTACATGAAAACTATAGTGTAGTCTTACCTTTGATGGAGTATAATCATTATGATTATGCCAAGAACAAATATATGCTTCGCCTAGTTGATAATTTGTATCTTAGCCTTTGAAGATGACATGCTTTATTAACATCCATTTTCAATAACAATTCCGAGTAACATTACTTTTGCATCAACTCTGTATCATGTACATAAGCTGAATACCACACATTACCTTTATTCCAGGTCTGCTGATCTCCAACCTACAAGTAATAAAGAGAAATTTCAGATTACTGTACTGTTTTTTTTACCGCTATAATATTTTGCTACAATAATATTACCATATACCAGGTCTATCCTGAAATGCATCAGTGCATCTTACCCTTGGGAACTGAATATTGATCTCCACGTATCAAGTTCAGAAATTTTGCTGGTGATATCTTCTAATTCCATTTCTTTGAAGATGGGTCCTCTCTGTGTTCTGTCTGCAGGTTGCTTTTCCATCAGAAGCTGGAGGAATCATAGAAACACAGTATAATTGGCACCTTCTTTTTATAAGCCACATCGCAGGTAGATCTAGCTTGCCTAACAATGGCCAGGCTGAAACTTACTGACAAAGTGTCACTATTCTGAGTGGGCTGTAAGCTCACACCGACAGATCATGATTAATCTTTTATCAGAGTTCAACAAACTTCTCTGGGCTTTTTTTGTATCCTTCCCTTTTCTTTCTTTCTGTATAAATATAGTTCACCTCACCTTTTCACAAAATCATGGTTGAGATTTGGCCTAGTATTACATATCTAGTTCCCTGGGGTTTGAATAATTTAGATGTGCGAATTGTACTCATTGAACTGAATAAATGTTTTCACGTTTTATTATAGGACACAGAGTGAGGGTTTTGATAACAGTGGTTACATCTTCACCTTCTTACCTAGGCCAACTCTCATGACTCAGCTGAAAAAAAGAAATCAGGATAATAGGGGTAGTGGCATTACAGGAAATATGAAAAATAAAGAGTACAACTCTTCTTGGGCTCATGAGTTTGGGTGACCAAATCATGACTGCTCCTTCACCTTATTACAGGATTTGTGTTTGCATTGCCTGCTCTACAAAATGTATATTTCTATACTTCTTTATTCTGCTATCTGTACTAGGCCATATAAAAAAAAAATACCAGCTGACAATCTAATTTTTTTTGATAGAGTGGAGAGCGGTGCATCTTTGGCAGGTCAGATTTTGCTGCTGTTTGTGTCTTAGTTGGAGAAGATGTCTATCCCTTGCTATACCAGCAATGGTTTTTGTACAAGAAGGAAGAGTAAATGTCTCCAAAAGGGAAACAGATAGGAATAAAAATCCATGTAATATATTACAGTGTGTTATTGACAGGTTCACTGGGTGAAAATAAAGGGATAAGGATGGATCATTGTGGCCCTCAGAGGTTCAATGTCTTCCTTGTGTCTGATTACACTTACCTTTAAATGTATCTCAAGGGTGAGCTATGCATCCCAGATATGAGATTCCTTATCCTTCCCCCCATTTTTTTGTTCTTTCTATTTCTTGTTTTACATCCTACTTCCTGACTTCCCTGACCCCCTCCGCCCCCTAACCTCCCTTCTGTTTTTCCCCACTCCCTTACCCCTCTCCCATTTCCCTTACCATTCCACACCCTTTGGCATTGTGGAGAAATTCATTTTTTGTTGTGATCTTTAATGATCTTTGAATGCATAACATCACATTAAGAGCAGCTAAAGAGGTCAGTGAGAGCTTGTTGTAAAGCTCTTTTATTACTTGTTAGGAATATGTAAATAGTTTAATGCCCATAGACTAGGCACAGGTGCACTTTAAAGCTGAACTTCAGGCATAACTATTTTGGAAAAGTCCTTTCTTAAATACATCTCTTTTTTTTAATGCTCATTTGACCTCCCACTTAGAAATCCATGCAGGAATTATGCAGAAGAAGGTCTCTGTCCCCATTATTTTCATTTGCTATTACGCTGGTCACTGGTTTTGTAACTTACCCTCTGTATTTTAGTGAAGAATGACTTACGGTAATTATTTTTCTGCTCACTGTAGTGGCTGGAGATGGGACTCTCAGAGTCCCAATCTGACCCGCCCACATACATTGCAACAGCTGAATGACAGGCCAGGAGACTCCTGATCTGTCCCGTCCACCATGATTTATAGACATTGGAACATAGATGCCCTCCCCAATATTGCACTCATTTACAACTAAAATTCTCATTGCATGATTGAAAACTTGTCGTTTCTCATATTGGCACAACACAGAGATCGGGTGTGAATGTATCCACCTCCATGATACCCCTATGGGTACCCTGCCAGAGCTTCATTTTTATCAGTGGGAGTAATAACAACACAAACTTTCTAAGGAAAACTTCTACTAAATGTGGCAGTGTTACTATAAATAATTGGGAACTTTCTAATATACATATCTGACAGTGCTTATTGAGCAAGTTTTCTTGTATCACGGAGCACAGCATTAAGGTGTGAATTCACACCATAAAATGATGTTAATCGCACAGTTCCAAGATCATGTTTTTGTTTTTTAACCACACTGCAACATACGGTATTGCAGTACTGTGCGTTGCGGCATGGTTGGGCACATTGCGGCCAGAGGTGCACTTGGGGTGCCATTCCAATGATTAGCAATGCAACGCACCTCCTGTACTGCAACACATGACAGGTGCATTGAGCTGTAGCGTGCATTAATCGCATGTAGCAGTGCAATTAACGCAACGCTATGGTGTGAATGGCCCCCAAAGTGCTTTGTAGGAAGGATCTGATCTGCTTTCGGTTTTATTGTTGTCTGGATCCTTGCTGGAGAGATCCCCTTTACTACCTGTTACGGTTACAGTTGTCACCAGAGTAGCAAGTGTGAGGTGCAGAGAGGCTGACATCAGTAACACCTGACAGAAGTTCTAAACCAGGGGTGGGCAAACTGTGGCCCTCCAGCTGTGAAACTAGAAATCCCATAATGCATCCTGCTCTGGGAGTCATGTCTGTGGCTGTCAGAGTCCTGCAATGCCTCCTGGGATTTGTAGTTCCCCAACCGCTTAATAGCTGGTGTTTGCCCACCCCTGTTCTAAACCTTCTCCATTCAATCCAGTACTATCCAATTATCAAGTTTAGTGGGTAACAAAGTTTACCAGAAAAGCTTCTGGGCTGCCAAACTTTTAATAAATACCTGTGGCCTAGCCTTTGTTCAAATCTGTCATAGCTGTGATAATGGCAGCTGAGCACAAAAACATATTAACAATGGCCTCCACGCTAATGACTTCTCATATTGCACTTGCTATTCACTGTTATCATTCAGCAGGTTCTATGTAATGAAATCATCTAAATATGTGGTAATATGAAGCTTGAACAAATTTCACTCATTTCTTATTTGTCTGGCTTGTAAAGTTTCAGATAACTGTCTGGTTTCCTAAAGGAAATATATATATTTATAATCCAAGGGATAAACAGTAAACAGAAAAACACGCAATATGGCTTAGTAAAGTGAAGTAAGCCATTAAAGGGCTACTCCACACAAAATTGGTGTTGGTTGGTAGAATTAAACACTGGTATTTCTCAGGGTCTCCAATGATAACATTCCCTCACTGTTGTTTTGAGAGTTGTACCCCATTAGTTGGATTCTCTCTCTCTTACTACTTCATTTAGGCAAAGTAATGAAAAATGCAGCACATGAAATACCAATAATATCCTCTGCTTTAAAATGTAAACATCAATCTTCATCAGATCCAATCTATGAAGACAACCAGGATACTCATCAGATCCACTGACTCCACAGATCAATAGAGGTCAGGGCTCGCTTACTGATGTTTATCCCGCCTGTGATTTCCATCAACAATGGTGGATAAAGTCCCAACAGTAGATCCGAGTTGTATCCACCATTGTCGATGAGAGACACAGGCAGGGATAAACATCACCAGCGAGACCTGACCACTGTTGCTCTGTGGGGTCAGTGGATCTGGTGAATGTCCTGGTTGTCTTCATAGATTCGATCTGATGAGTATTGATCTTTACGTTTGGAAGCAGCAGAGGATATGATTGGCATTTCAAATGCTGTATTTTTCATTATTGTTCATCTCTTGGACTGTATTTATGATTGGCTGCTAAATAGTAAATAAGATTAGCGCTGACTTTTACTTGCAATCAGATTCATTCAGGAATAGTCTCACTCCTTCAACTTCATAAATCATCATTGAATATTCAACAGGAAAAATTGAGACTCCTTTGGCATGGTCTTAAAAGGTGGGTAGACCATAGATCTTAGGTGCAGAGTTCTCTCTACCAGATCCCCAGAGAGATAAAAATAGAGTGAAAGATCTCCAGCATTTACCATCATCTAAAATGTCATCTTTAAGTGGATCAATATTATAATGAGCTGAACTACAGGTATAAATATTTTTGTATATTTACAGCTTTGCTCAAGGTAAGTATATATATATTTTATATCTAGAAGGGCCATAGGGATCCTGAAAAGATTGTAGTAGCTGGCAGTACCACAGTGCTGTACAATGATCTTCCGGGTCCTGTACTGCTGCTGTGTTCAGTGACTTCACTCCCCAGCCAATCAGAGAATGTCTAGTATCCAAAAAAAAAATACTAGCAGGGTTATTCACAAAGCTGATGAAGGCAGCCGTGTGACTCACTTAAGGCTTATACAGCTGATTTCAGCCGTACATCGGCTTGCTTCGGCTGGCTTCGGGTTGGACGAACATGCTAAGAAGGAGTTCGACTCCGCCGATCCAACATCTGGATCGACTAAACCGAACCTCCGGCAGCCTACTCGCTGCTGTTCGGCCCCTATTCTCATAGGGGCCGAACAGCAGTGAGTGAATAGCCGAATGCCGCCCCTCGACATTTGGCTCGGCTATTCTGCTCGGTACCACCGTGGTACCGAGCAGAATAGAAAAACAGTTAAAAAAGTAGAAAACGATTGGGCGGAGCTAGCAGTGACAGCTTGCTCCACCCAACTGTTTCCTATTGGCCAGGACCTGCTGTCATTACAATGAAAGCTCAGCGGAGCAGGCGGTGATGTCACTGCCGGCTCCACTGAGCTCTCATGACAGTTCAACTTCCCCTGGTTACCAGGTAACCAGGGGATGCTGAACTGTCATTACAATGAGAGCTCAGCGGAGCCAGCTTTGATATCACGGCTGGCTCCGCTGAGCTCTCATGACAGTTCAGCGTCCCCTGGTTACCAGGTGATCTGTCATTATGATAAGAGCTTAGGGGAGCTGGCTTTGATATCACCGCCGGCTTGTAATGACAGCTGGTCCCGGCTGACCAGCTTGTAATGACAGCTGGTCCCGGCCAAAAGAAAACAGTTGTGCGGAGCAAGCTGTCACTGCTAGCTCCGCCCAATCGTTTTCTACTTTTTTTTACAGTTTTTCTATTCCGCGCGGTACTACAGAGGTACCAAGCAGAATAGCCGAGCCGAATGCCTCTCGGCGGCATTCGGCTATTCACTCACTGCTGTTTGGCCC